TATATAAATTGCTATTATTACAATCCATACAGTTTTTAGAACCATAATTCTTATAAAAACAAAAATCATGTATCATAATATATAATTCTCAATTAGTACATTCTCATATACATAGTTATTTAAATCAAAAGAATATTGCTGTCTTTCTGTTGTGATTCACGAAATAAATACTATAGTTATGACCTGTAGAATTTGGTTATACCATACAACAGCTGGTTATTCTAACTTCTTGATAAGTTAACTGATAGTTAAATCATATATGTTTTTGCCTAAATTGAAGAAGAAATAAAAGACAGATATATGATTTAATTATCAGTTAACTTATCAAAGTTGAAACAACTGGCCCTGAGAGTACTATTCAAACACATACGGATAAGTAGCAAAGAAAGTTAAATGTACTATTTCCAGAATATTATACCCACACAGCAAGAATGTCCCACATATATCATAAGGATATCTTGAAGATATCGCATATCCCAAATATATTTTTAGGATATCCCTATGATATATTTTGGACATCTTTATTGTGTGGGTAGGTACAACTATCATGTACAAAATGTGAAAAATAACATTAATATCTTATTATGACAACCATATTTAAGCAAGTGATATCTTTAGTTTTTTTCCACTGTTTTTCATGAGAAAACAAGCAACACATTCACGCTGAAAGAAGACTTCTAGGCGTTGTGCTATCTGAGATAAAACCGACTCAGGCAGATGTTATTGACGTTTAATCAACTTTGAACGACGTCTGCTACTCTGCCTGAAAATGGAAAATATAAATTTATATAAATGTGTTAAATATAAATTTATATTAAAAATAAATGTACACTCTCTCTATAAAGAGCAGTTTGTGTAATTCACATATTAATGCAACGTCAAGAAAGACACTTTAAGATATGACATTAAGCAGCGATTCTTTCTTGTTTTTCTGTCTCACAGTTCGAGACGAGCTGTGCTATTAACAAAACACGATTGCTCGATTGTTTAGAACTGTTTATGTCGTTATCTGAAGTATTCAGATAACGTATACGTAACGAACAAATTTATATAGTGATAACACACATCGCGCATATGCACGTGCATCAATATACACGATCATGTGCGAAATTACAAAACAACCGTCGTTTACCGCAGCACGTTTGCTTCTAACGACCCATAAGCGCACTCGCCCTTTTTGCCCAATTGCGGCAAATCAGAGATGATAATCTTCTTGGTGCAGCTAAGAAATAACGTGGAACGAACGTTAAAACGGCATACCTCGTCCAAATCCTCCTCTTTTTAAAAGAAAGAAAAAATAGTCCCTGAAAAGAGCAAAACCATTACATCGCAGGCAGTGGGTTAATGCATTTCTTTCGTCAGAATCGTCAGAGATGAAAAGCAAACGATTTTTAGACGCATACCGTGCATTACGAGTGCATTTACCACAATCTAATTTTTTTATAGTTTTTTAATGGACTCTCTCTCTCAATAAATGGCTCTAGGAATTCGATTCTTGACGGTATGCGAATGATACGCATACGAAAATGTATAGTTCACGTTACGTATACTGTAGATTTTCGTATACGTATCTCATTCAAGGCTGCGTTCGGAAACGTCATTCGAATATTCTCCCTCTCTTTTTATCTCACTCATGTATTTCGCTCACTCCAACGGCTATCGTCTAGTAGTGTGCACACAGGATATTTCCGAACGCAGCCCAAGAATCGGGCCCAGGGTACAAGCCCATACAGCGGAATAGCGGAGTGCGGAACGAGAGCGTAACCAATCATGAGCGGAAGCAATCACGAGCGAAAACTGTGGAACGCGCGTGATTGGTTTCGCTCTTGTTCCGCTCTCCGCTATTCCGCTGCATGAGTTTGCATCCTCAGGCGTGCGTTCGAAAACCTTATCCGGGTGCATTCGCTGCATTGGAGTGAAAAAGATATAGGAGTGAGATAAAGAGAGAGGAGAAGCACCTGGGTGAAGTTTTCAAACGCGCCTCTGGCGACTCACGTCATGTGTCCCAATGCCATTTTTTCGATAAGGTGATTGGTCGCTTTTTTAACGGATATCTTCTTTATATTTTACTTGGCTTTCAGGCTGTATTATACGTTAGCTCTTTCAACCAAGGTACCGAAGTACAATTCCAAAAAAATCAGGTTACCTATTATGGACTTCCTCGGAATTAATTTCAATCGTTAACATTCAGTTATTTCCTAGATTTCTATTGTTTTTTCTAGGGGAAATGGAATTATTCCGATCGGAATTGATTCCGAAGAAGTCCATGATAGCCAGGACCCCTATTCTTGAAATTTTTGTGTATACGTAATTTTCATTGC